CGGCTCTCAAACGCTATGGGATGCTTATCCTGCATCAGGACACCCCTAATGGTGAAGTTTGAGGCATCTGTGTGCACCTCAAATGTCTTTGGCAAAGTCAGGTAACCCCGAGACTGGCTCCTCTATTACAGTTTCCCTAAGGTCTTCAAATGCCTTTTGACAATGCTCTGTCCAGACCCATGGCTTGTTCTTCTTCAGTAGCTCAGTCAATGGTGCAGCCTTTGCTGAGTAGCCACTGATGAACGAATGATAGTAGTAAACAAGGCCAAGGAAGGATCTCAGCTCTGTTACCTTTGTAGGTGCCTCCCACTCCTGGATAGCACGTACCTTAGCCTCGTCCATGCGTAGCTCGCCATTGCTAATGACATGGCCCAAGAAGTGCACCTTTGATTGTGCGAACTCACATTTCTCCCTCTTGATGTATAGCTTGTTCTCCTGCAAGACTTGGAAAACCTTCCTTAAGTGCTTCATGTGCTCCTCCAAGGTGTTGCTATAGATGACTATGTCGTCTAGGTAGACTACCACGAACTGATCGAGGTAGGGATGGAAAATCTTGTTCATAAGGGTGCAAAATGTGGCCGGTGCATTGGTTAAGCCGAAGGGCATCACCAACCACTCAAAGGCTACATATCTCGTCACACATGTTGTCTTTGGCTCATCCCCTTCCGCAATGCGAACGTGGTAGTAGCTCTTTCGAAGATCCACCTTGGTAAAGTATTTGGCTTGCCCAAGTCTATCGAACAAGTCAGCAATGAGGAGGATCGGGTACTTACTCTTCACTGTGACCATATTAAGTGCTCGGTAGTCTATGCATAAACACAACGATCCATCCTTCTTCTTCTGGTACAATACTGGTGCGCCAAAAGGTGCCTTTGATGGGCGAATGTGACCACCATCTAGTAGCTCTTTCAATTGTTTCCTGAGCTCCTCTAGCTCGAGTGCTGCCATACGATATGGGGCAAATGCGGGTGGCTTAGCCCCTGGCTCCAACTCAATCTTGTGATCCACCTCTCGCCTAGGCAGCAAGTTCTTAGTAAACTCCTCGGGCATGACATCTTTGTTTTCCTCAAGCAATTTCTCTATGCAAGGCGACACTATCTCTTGAAAATTCTTGTCTTCCTCTAGACTTGCATGGTTGCCACGAACTTCGGCTCCCCCTTCTTGATCCCCTTGACAACCTGCATAGCTGAGAGTTGTTCTTGGATCTGTCCGTATGGCATACTAACTGTAGGTACCATGCAAGCTCCTTCTCGCTCCATAACCAAGAGCGTTGGAGGTAGGGGTCGTTCAAAGTATGACATTGTCTAAAGAACTCTTGCCTAGTATGATGTCAAAGATATCCATAGCGGTTACGGTAAAGTTTGTCATACCTTTCCAAGCTCCCAATTTGACACCAACTCCATTAGCTACCCCACAAGAATTTTGTACCTCGACATTCACGGTCTTGACGCGAGAGTTGGTTGGAGCAAGCTTCAATTCTAGTCTCTTTGCGGCAGCCTCAGCCACGCGGGCTTGTTGTTGATGGTGAGATCCACGTACTGATTGGCATTCTCGGTAGGTTGGATTGCTTGCTTTGTGACAACACCACATAATCCGATCATACCTAATTGTGCGGTTCCCGAACTCTCTCCTTGCGGCTGCTCCTTTCGTTCACGGACTATGGCGCTGAGGCTCTTTAGGTCGGGACAATTCCTGAAGCCGTACGGCCCTCCGCATATGTAGCATCCCTTCTTCTCGGCCTGTGCCTTGTTCTTGGCGTAGCCCTGACGACCACTCGACTTTTTGGAATCTTGAGTTTGGAGTATTGTTGTTGTGTCTCCTTGCCTTTGCCACAGTCTCCCCCACCATTGACATTGTTAACCTTTGACTCCTTGCCATTGCCTTTGTCGTGCTTGTCATGCCTGAAATCCATCAATGATTTGGCCTCCACTATTCCTTGATCTATATCAGTGACTTGTTGGCGTTGCAACTCCTGCTTAGCCCAATTTTGCAACCCGTCCATGAAGTGGAACAACGAGTCATCATTGGTCAGGTTAGGGATTTGAAGCATAAGGCTAGTGAACTCCTTGACAGAGACACGTATGCTCCCTGTTTGCTTCAACTCCCTAAGCTTGTGCCATGCCTCGTACAAGATATTGTTTGGAAAGAACTGTCGCTTGAACTCAGCTTTGAACTGATCCCACGTGCTAATAGTACATAGACCTTTATCCATGTCGGCCATCTTCCTTCTCCACCATAACATGGAAGTCTCTAAGAGGTACAACACGGCAGTGTTGATCTTGGCCTCGTCATCCCTCACTTTTCCGTGCTTGAAGTAGTTCTCCAAGTGCCAAAGGAAGTTTTTCACTTCTTGTGCATCACGAACACCTTTGAACACCGGGGGTTTGGGAGCCTCGATCTTGGCCTCCCTCATCACAACAACATTGATGGCGGCCTCGGTCACGCTAGCATTGATATGCTCCTCGAGTGACTCTATCTTTGCCTTCATAGCATCGATAGTACTCAAAGCCTCCATGAGTCTGCACTCTAAGGAAGTGATGGTTTGCCTTAGTTCCATCTCAGTCTGTGTACGTCCCTCCAAGTCATTTCGGATACTCTCAATCTCTTCAAGAGTGTGCCCCTCAAGAACGCTGATGGTGCATTCCATCTTCCCCAAGCATTGGCCAAAGATCTCCACGGCGTCCATCCCCACGTTAATCTTCATCACCAACTCTTTACCGAGCGTGACGTCCTCGGACAGGACCTCCACTTCATCCTCACTCGCCTCAGTGGCAGATGGTTCTTGGGATGTAAGCCCTTCATTTGACACAACCTCGGGTGACACCTCCTGGCTCTTTTTCGTGGCATTCCTCTTTTTGCTACGGCCGCTCTTGCCAGCAGCATCCTGGATGACGTTCGCTTGGGTGTTGGCAGCATTAATTTCTCCGTCGTTCGTCATTCCCTTAGTTGCAACCTTTGCTCTAATATCGCGTTGTTACGTCCTTAGTTGTTAACTAAGTACACGTGTGGCACTTGACAACTCGCTCACGATCTTGCACAACTTGCCCACGTTCTTGCTATGGAATTCAGCCTTACTACACTCAAGATCGCTAAGAGAATGGTAGAAAGAACACAAGAGAATTGTTAAATGATGCTTTGTATTAGAGAGAACTTGAATTGTTTGCTTGGTGAATTACAAATGAACGGCCCCCTTTATATACTGGTCTCCTAGGGGCTAGTGGGTAAATAATAATTATTACACAAGTCCTTAATATTTACAAGATAAGGGCTTTCTCTAGAATTCTCTACAAGCCTAGAAGATCCCAAGGACTTTCCAAGCAAATCCATAAGGATCTAGGTTCTTCCTAAGGAAATGTCCATACTTCTCTAGAATCTTCTCACAAATGCTAGCCTTCTTCTTATGTAAGCTTCCACATGGCATTAATATATGCCAAATGGTACCTATATGGCATGATGACATGACGGGTCATCACATCGTGCTTTACAATTTTAGATATTCGAGTAGTCCCTAAACAATAGGCTGCGAGTACTCAATGTGTTAACTATCTAGCATCACAAAAATTAAAAACGAAACAAAATTACTCCATTAGTCTTTTAATTCCAAAAACTTGATATAGACGGTTGAACACACTTTGCTTTAAAATACGGAGGCAACAAGTTTAGACCAATGTTTTAAAAGCGGGGCGTAACGCAAAGTGTTTTACTTCTGACGAGGCGAGGCGTAAGCCCTGAGATATGGGATGTAAGTCCCACGGATCTTTAAATTTTACTAATTTATTTTAAGATAGTATAAAATAAAAAATAATTAGAAAAATCACATTAAAATCACAAAATTATAATAAATAATCTATTTAAAATATTTATAAATTATAATTCAACTATGAATAATGCGAAAAGTATGACATATATCATAATATGCAAATTAGCTGCAATGTCTTTACAATTCAAATATCAAAAGTAATGTATTCGATACGAAATCTTATACGTATCTCTTAAGGAGTAATGAATCTTGAAAGTATTTTCGATATTATAATTATATATTTTTCTTAAAATACTCGTTTTATTTAATATGCTTTCTATTTGAAAGAGAATTTATATAAAAACATAATTCACAATTTAAATATGATTCTCTAGCATCATTTATTTTTAAGTTTCAACAAGTTAATAAAGTGACACATAATTCACTGTACAGTACCATGATAACTAATTATCTGTAAATAGTTACTAGCTAATGCTGAGTTATTAAATTAATAAGTAAGTTCAATCGTCAAAAGTGAGATCTCTTTTAATCCGCTCTTCTTTTCTCTTTTGAGTCTGGTTCAGTATTGTATCTAGTAAATGTGAAAAAAAATATATTTAGAAAAAAAATTATAAAAAAAAAGTATGGACTATTATATAGAAAGACCTAACAAAAGTTAATAAATAAATACTTTTTAAATGAAAAATTTATTTAAAATTTACTATCATAACACTCTTAGTGGATAATGTGCAATAATTTTTATTTTAATTATGACATAAAATACTCTCAACTTAATGATTTATGATTAAGAAAAAGTAATTTTGAATAGTCAACAATTTATTAAGAAAATTTGAGGATTTACAAGGTTAGTTACATACAATTGCATAAAGTTCTATTAGGCGAGCCCAGTACGCTGGGCGTTGGGCGTGTCCGGGGCTTACGCCCCGGTGGCAGAGGCATAAGTCTCATGGAACTAAGCCCCACACATAAGCTCAGGGGCATTTTACGAGTGCTCCGCCCCGAAGTGAGCCCCGGCGAGTCCCAAATCTGCCTTTTAAAACAGAGGTTTAGACAAAGCAAGTAAGCTGATTTCTTTTAAGAAAAGAAAATCAGCGTATTTATTATTAAACAATATACTACACTTCAAATTTCTAGAACCCAAAGAAAAATCTAAGACATTGGTAAAAAGAACTTATCCCATTATCCACGAGGACCACGACATTGACCCCCATTACAAGTCTTCCATTTAAACCCCAATATAAACAACAACCTAATATGCCAAACTATCACAAAAACACATTCATTTTCCTCTTTATCCCAAAAACAAAATTCCAAGGTTAACATGTTCATTCCAATTTTATACGTTCCTCTCCTATTAGGTTTTTACATTATCACAAAACATTTTCTACGCAAATTTCGAAATAATCCACCAGCTCCATTTCTTACTTTCCCATTTATTGGTCATCTTTATCTCTTCAAAAAACCTCTTCAACGTACCTTAGCCAAAATCTCCGAACGTTATGGCGCTGTTCTTTTACTCGAATTCGGTTCACGAAAAGTTCTTTTGGTTTCTTCACCATCTGCAGCTGAAGAATGCTTAACAAAAAACGATATTATTTTCGCAAATCGTCCTCTTTTGATGGCTGGAAAACATTTAGGCTACAATTTTACTTCTTTGGCTTGGAGTTCGTACGGAGATCACTGGAGAAATTTGCGTAGGATTACTTCAGTTGAGATGTTTTCGACTCATCGTCTTCAAATGCTACATGGGATTCGTATTGATGAAGTGAAATCTATGGTAAAGAGGCTCAATTCCTCTGCCATGGCTGAAAATTCTGTGGATATGAAGTCTATGTTCTTTGAGCTGATGCTGAATGTTATGATGCGGACAATTGCTGGGAAAAGGTATTTTTGAAATGTTTAATTACCAAAGATAGTACACTTTTATTTATACTTTCAACACGCTTATTAATTGCGGATTCCTAATTTAATGTGATATTCCTGGAAAAAGTGAAGAAAAAAAATTCAAATGAAAATTAAATTTGTATTTGGACATAAATGCGATTTAATTTGGAACAGCTTTTGAATTTTTATGAGTGCTTTAAAGTGAATTCTTTTGAAAAAATAATTTTTTTGGAGTTTTTAAAATTTTCATGGCAAAATACTGATTCCAAAAGAGAACGTGAAAATTTTCCGAAAAAATGTAAATTGTTTTTATGGCCAAACCGTCTCTTAATTTTAATGTGTTCAACCTCTGAATGCTTGAAATTCTAGGTTCAAAATTTGATATTTTATAAGATTTTAGTGAAATCTCACAGACATAAATTTGTGTGAAATTTTCGTTATTTTTAAACAAGTATATGTAGTATCTTTTGAATAATATCTTTTAGTTGTACCTGTTTATCCAATATGTTACATTTCTCACTAATTAATAATGGTTGATGGTGAGAATTAAACCCAAGACCTATGAATGTCTGCTCTGATATCATTGTTGAAATATGTGATGGATCCTCCATTTTAGGTTTAAACTGTCAGAAGATTATACTTTTATTTACTTAATTATTTCTTCAATAGATATTATGGAGAGAACGTGGAGGACATTGAAGAAGCTACGAGATTCAAAGGCATGGTGCAAGAGACTTTCAGGATTGGCGGGGCGACGAATATTGGTGACTTTTTGCCGGCGTTGAAGTTGTTGGTGAGAAAATTGGAGAAAAGCTTAATTGTGTTGCAAGAGAACAGAGATGAGTTTATGCAGGAATTAATTAAAGATTGCAGAAAGAGAATGGAGAAGGAAGGTAGTGTTACTGATTCAGAAATTGAAGGGAATAAGAAATGTTTAATTGAAGTTTTATTAACACTACAAGAAAATGAACCGGATTATTACAAAGATGAAATCATCAGAAGCCTTATGCTTGTAAGTTCTCTACTTTCCTTTTATTTCAATTTTGCATTAATTTCTTCCCTTCTTTTTAAGCGTAAGTATGAAATCAAAGCGGAGAAATATTATCCAATCATTTTTTTTTTCTCCTTAAAATGTCAATGTACTACTGTCCACCACTCAAAATATAGTACTCCCTCCTTTATTGACTTATTGACTTGTTGTTGCGATATTTTAGTAGTAGGAAATATCTTTGAAACGACAGAGGCGTATTTAATTGTATCATGTTTGAATTAAACACCTGTAGGGTCCAAAACAATTGCGTCCCAATTATTCAATCAAAATCTTATCAAAATCTCTTTTGGATTTGGCATTCAAAGGTTGGAGTAAGTTCCTTTTAGAAATAAAATAAAATGTAAATACTTAAAAGTTAAAACAATCAAACCGTAGAAAAAAAATCATGAAACGGTGAGTAAGATTATATAAATTATACCGAATTTATCAAAAACACGAAACTCTATTTCATCTTAGTTAACATAGGTAAAAACGTTACTTACCTTTCAAACGTATCTATCGTAGCGACAGTGTATTGATGAACAGAGTCGGAGCCAGAATTTGAAGTTTATGGGTTTAGAATTCTAGCCCTTCTAAATAACTGGATTCTAAATTAATAATCGGTACATACTATATGAATTTCTTAAGATCAATACAGAGTTTAAACCAAAGACAGTCGGTTCAGCCAAACTAGTAAGTTGAAGGCTAGCTCTGCCCCTGTCATGGATGACGCTATTGGATCAAAAAAACGTTCCCATTGAAAGTGGGAGCAGACGAAATGATCCATAATTAAAATAAAGAGAATTATGATTTTCCTCTAATTTTTTTACTGGAATTGGTTACTGAATAGCTGTATAGCACAAATATTGGATTCCACCGAAATTTACCCTTTTCTTTCCTCTTTACGTTGCCTCTGAAATAGCATAACTTGCATATAGACCAAGGTGTCACTTCAGTCCAATATCTTTAGGGTTACGTTTACTCAAATATTTACCTATTCATGTTGTTTACTGTTTCGGTATATGTAGGTTCTATTAGCAGCTGGTACAGATACTTCAGTTGGGACAATGGAATGGGCTTTATCATTAATGTTAAACCACCCTGAAACTTTGAAGAAAGCACAAGATGAAATCGATGATCGCATCGGACATGAACGTTTACTCGACGAGTCAGACATCAACAACTTACCTTACCTACGTTGTATAATCAACGAGACATTCCGAATGTACCCTGCAGGACCTCTACTAGTCCCACACGAGTCGTCAGAGGAAACCACCGTAGGAGGCTACCGTGTACCTGGAGGAACCATGTTACTTGTGAATTTGTGGGCAATTCACAATGATCCAAAGCTATGGGATGAACCAAGAAAGTTTAAACCAGAAAGATTTGAAGGACTAGATGGTGTTAGAGATGGTTACAAAATGATGCCTTTTGGTTCTGGACGAAGGAGTTGTCCTGGAGAAGGATTGGCTATTCGAATGGTTGCATTGTCATTGGGATGTATTATTCAATGCTTTGATTGGCAACGAATTGGGGAAGAATTGGTTGATATGACTGAAGGAACTGGACTTACTTTGCCTAAAGCTCAACCTTTGGTGGCCAAGTGTAGCCCACGACCTATAATGGCTAATCTCCTCTCTCAGATTTGAACATAATTGACCAAACATCCCCAAACTAGAATATTATTATTGGTTACCTATATCAATGTAATCAATTTTGAACCATATTATATCTCAGTGTACTCTTTTTCTATTTATTTAACCATCCGATATTTGAAACACATTGCTGACTAATCCATATTCGCACCATGTTAGGGCTCATTAAGGGGGAAGCATTCCCATTTTCCATTCAGTTCGACCTCGAGACCTCTGGTCAAGTGCTTAAGGGTGGAGAATCTCATTCATTTCATCACATTCATTTGTCGTAATATATTCATTTCGAGACCTCGTTCGGTAAACTGAAACTGGTACCAAAAAAAAAAAAGAAAGGAAAATAAAAAGGAAGGCCTCTTTGACTCTTTCCATTTTTGTGATAAAATGACAAATGCTATGATTTGCATAATACAACAATAATAACTATAACAAATTAAACTAGCGCTTCAACAACCTTATTACTCCCGTAACCTGTTAGTTATCTCATTGGCGTAGCTAACGAAGAAAATTTTAGAAGTTTGTAATTTCAATTTTTCATGTTGACAAGCATAAGAGAGTTAAGGCTACGAAGTAAAGAAACCTCATTCGAACCTGCCTCTTATTTCTTGTATGCTAAGAGCAATAAGGAACATAGTTCAATAAGCAAGTATAATGATCCAATTCCTAGTTGAGAAAAGGATATTCTTGTTTTGGTGGAAACAAAACACAAAAGACAAGTAACTATTTATTCCATCAATAAACTGGTTTTAATATTAGATAATAAGTCGAGCTTAATCAAATCAATTGTAGCCATCCAAAGAATTCAATGGATTTCTCCTCCATGTGTTTGGCTATTCCCCTGTTTCTAGCACTGTATATCTTAACTTAACATGCCCTTCACAAGCTCCAAAATCTTCCACCATCCCCATTTCCAGATCTTCCAATAATCAGTCATCTTTACCTACACAAGAAACTCTCAAAAAAACATGGTCCAGTGCTCGTCCTCCAACGACGTTGTTTTTGCAAACCGCCCTCACCTTATTGCTGGAACACTTTGGCAACAACTATACTAGCCTGGCCTGGTCATCCCATGGTGACCATTGGCAAAATCTTAGACGTATAGCCTCCAACGAACTCTTATCATCAACTCGTGTGCAAACTTTATCCAATTTTCGAACTGATGAAGTTCGTTTGATGATCCAACATCTCTTTCACAAGTGCAAGAATAATGGATTGTATCAGAAGGTGGACATGAGGAGTATGTTGTTTGTGGTAACTTCAATTCGATTACGAGGATGCTTGCTGGAAAAAGGTTTTGCGGAGAAAGAGTAGTGGACTCCGAGGAAGCAACAGGTTTCAGGAGATAGTGGGAGAGCAAGTGAAAGTACTCGCAAAGGCGAGCAAACATGAGTTTTTGCCATTCTTTCATTGGTTTTGGTCGGAAGGAATTGAAAAGATGTGCCAAAATAAGGGAAGTTTTCGTGCAAGAATGGATCAAAGGATTTTGAGAGATGAGGTCTACTAATATGGATAATAAAGAAAACGGAGGTAGAACTATGACTGAGATCTTGTTATCACTACAAGAAACAGATCTTGAGTACTATACAGATGAAATGATCAGGAGCCGTATGATGGTAAGAATTAAATAATTATAGCGTAATTATCCTAGATTAGTTTCATGTGTGGTAACTGAGCTTTACTCATTAGTACATTTAGTCATTATAGTGGATAAAGTTAAGTAATTTTGCTATTATAATGAGAAAGGTTCAATGATTTTTAATTCAGCAAAACATAGTTTTATAACTTCAACTTTACAATGGTGAAAGTTCAATGACTTTACTGTTATATAGTGGATAAAGTTCACTTTACATGATAAAAACTAATGTATGACTTTACTGTTATAATGACTATGCCTCAAACTAACTCTAATTTTCATTAAAGAAGAAACCAATTGACCAACTTGAATATGTTATTTGGCACATTTTTAACTGCTGCATTCAGTAGATGCAATGGAGTGGACAATAGCTCGTCTGCTCAACATGTTAACGGAAGCCCAAATTCAGGCCCAACACCAACTCATACCCAGCAGCCCACTTAACTATACTATATCTTTCTCTTATTACAGTTTAGTCCATGTACAATTGATAATAGCTCATGTATATATATAGAAATAAGAATAGTCTAGAACATAAGAGAGCATTCTGTATTTTCCGGAAACATTGACTATGGAATAAAAGCTCTCTCTTTTCTCTTTCTAATTCTAGGGTTTATTTGCACAAATTATTCTTTCATAGCTCGATTTTCTGCAATTAACATGGTATCAGAGCAAGGAATCGATGATCCTTGATCTCCTCTTTCGATCGATGTTACCCTCATCGATTCTCATGAACTTTTTCGGTTCTGTCGATCTCATTTGAAATCACATTTTGAAGTGAAGATTTGGGAATAAGGCGTTTTTCTGACCCTGTGTTGCAACTATTGGAGATTCTTACGACAATTCTGGTCATTTCCGTTCTCCCGCACTTTGCTCTGGTATCTTCTTCATTCTCACCGATTTAGCGGGATTATTGACTTCAAGGCCTCACCTTCTTTAGGTTGCAAAGAAGGACGGTAACATTCTCCTTATTTTCCTGTACATTTAGGTGAAAATCGAGTGTTTCTCGTATCAATTTGGAAATTTCCAAAATCTAGGGTTAAGTCATGGGAAGTCCAGAAGTTAGTTCTTCCTCTGTGACAGCTGGTTTTGATGAGTTCACCATAAATCCATCTCATCCATTCTATGTTCATCCATCGGATAGTCCTGGAACACACTTAGTGTCTCCACCTTTTGATGGGAATGGTTTTGTTATTTGGCGTAAGAATATGCTTACTGCCCTCTCCGCTAAAAACAAACTAGGGCTCATAACAGGAAAAGTCACTAAACCTCTAGCTAATTCTCCCTATTACCCCTTTTGGGAAACATGCAACGACATGGTAATTGCATGGTTAACAAATTCATTGTCTAAAGATATAGCAAATAATGTTATGGGGTTTGACACTGCTAAAGACATTTGGGATGATATAAATGAAAGATTTGGTACATCAAATGGTTCGAAATATATTCAAATACAAAGGGAAATCAGTGCTGCTTCACAAGGACCATTAGACATAGCTACTTACTTTACAAAATTGAGGGGTCTTTTGGATGAACTTAGTACTGCCTATGTAGGACCAGTATGCACATGTGGAGCCTTACCAAAATTCATTGAGCAACAGAAAATATACCAATTCCTTAGTGGTTTAAATGAGTCCTATTCTACTTGCAAGAGCAATATTTTGATGATGTCATCCCTTCCATCCCTAAGCAAAGCCTATTCTATGCTTCAACATGATGAAAAGCAAAAGGAGACTTCAGCTCCTATATCCAGCTTTTCAAATGAGTCAGCCTCTTTCAATGCTTCTAGCAGTCCTGTCCAGACATCTGCTAGGCCTTATACTCAAAGGTTCCAGTTTGATCAAAAGAGAGGTTCAGGCTCTTCCTCTCAGTTGTCTTGCAAATACTGCAAAAAGACTGGTCATAGCATTGAGAAGTGTTACAAATTACATGGTTTTCCTCCTGACTTCAAGTTTACCAAAAGCAAAAGGACTGCTGCTTGTGTGCAATCTGAAGGTCCTTTTCCTCACCATACTCACATTCATGGTCAATCTTCTGAGATCACTGGTCATGGCTTCAGCAAGGAACAATATGACCATCTCATGACTCTGTTTCAACAGCTGAATCATCCTCCTGTTATACATCCTGATAGTTCTGCCTCAGAAAACATTGGTTTTGCTCACTTTGCAGGTGTGTTTAATCATCCTGAAGTGCATTCTGCTGCTTTTCATGCATGTGTAGTTTCAAACTTAGGTTCAAATCCTTGGATTCTAGATTCAGGTGCCACTAACCACATGACACCACACAAACACCTTTTAACCAATTTAACACCACTCACTACTCCTTTCTTAATAACTTTACCTAATGGATACAAAGTAAAGGTCATATCTACTGGGTCTATGGAACTCAGGCCAGACATGATCTTACATAATGTTCTGTTAGTTCCTTCTTTTCACTTCAATCTCATATCTATTCACAAACTTCTTGTTCAATTCAGATGCATTGCAATTCTTACCATTTCTGCCTGTATTTTACAGGGTCCTTCTCTGAGGAGGCCACTGGAAATTGGTAAAGCTGCAAATGGGTTGTATTTCCTGCATCCTAATATGACTTCATCTTCTATGTTTGTTTCTTTTCCTATCAATGTTTCTCATTCTGTCCAATGTAATAATTCTAGTGCTTCTTATAGTGTTAATCCTTCTCCTATAACTGTTCCTTTTACAAATTGTACTAACAACTCTTCTGATCTTAATAAAAATGATGTTATTTGGCATCAAAGATTGGGTCATGTTCCTTTTAATAGAATGAAATCCATTTCTTCTTTGTCTGATAAGATCTCACATAAACAATCATTCTCCTGTAACATTTGCCTAATGGCAAGACAACACAGATTGCCATTCTCTGAAAGCTCTATTCATTCTTCTACCCCTTTTCAACTTGTTCATGTTGACATTTGGGGCCCATACAATACTCAGACTTACAATGGATTTAGATATTTTTTAACTTTAGTGGATGATTTTTCCAGAGTCACTTGGACTCACCTATTGTCATGCAAAAGTAATGCCCTTTCTGTGCTCAAGGCTTTTCATGCAATGGTGAAAGTTCATTTCAACTCAAATGTCCAATCTTTTAGATCTGACAATGCCTATGAGTTAGGTACTAGTTCTGAAGCCCAACAATTCTTTTCTGCCAATGGCATTCTCCATCAGACTAGTATCCCTCATACCCCTCAACAAAATGGAGTGGTTGAAAGGAAACACAAACATCTGTTGGAAGTGTCTAGGGCCCTTTTGTTCCAATCTAAACTTCCCCTCAAGTATTGGGGTGATTGTGTTCTCACAGCCACTTATCTGATTAATCGATTACCTTCCACTGTCCTTCATAACATTTCTCCATTTGAAAAACTACATGACTATCCCCCTTCTTTTGATCATTTGAGATCTTTTGGATGCCTTTGCTATGCCACCACTCCTAAGCATGGCAGGGATAAATTCAAACCTAGAGCTATTTCTTGTGTGTTTTTGGGATACCCCTGTGGGAAAAAGGGTTATAAGCTCCTTAATCTTTCTAACCATTCTATTTTTTTCTCTAGAGATGTGCTCTTTCATGAACACATCTTTCCTACCACCTTCCCCCTTCCTCTCCTTTCCCTCCTCCTCCCACTGATTTTGTTGACTCTGATCCCACAGCACCTTGTGTCTCCTCTCCCCCTGTTTTTGCTAATTCTGATCTCTCCCCTGTTGCCCTTCCTTCCCCAGCACCTTATGTTTCTTCTCCCTTGGCACCTCCTCATACTTCCTCTACATCCTCTCCTGTTCTTCCTTCCAATTCTCCTCCTCCTCCTCTTCCTGCCATCAGGAAATCAGGCAGAGTTACCAACCTACCTTCATATCTCTTAGATTATGTTTGCTCTTCTATTCTCCCATCCTCTTCCCCACATGTTTCCTTGAATCACAAGGTTTCTACCTCTGAATTGCACATGCTGAGCCTCAGTATTACCAGCAGGCTGCCCCTCATCCTGCTTGGCAGAAGGCCATGCTACAGGAATTTCAAGCTCTTGAGGCTAACCATACATGGGATATTGTCCCCCTACCTTCTTATAAGAAGGCCATTCCCTGTAAGTGGGTATATAAGATTAAGCAAAGGTCTGATGGACCTATTGAAAGATATAAAGCCAGGCTTGCCATAAGGGGTGATACTCAAAAGGAGGGTATTAATTATAATGAGACATTCTCTCCAGTTGTCAAGCTCACCACAGTTAAATGTCTCCTTTCCTTGGCTGCAAGAGACATTGGACTGTTTTCAGCTTGATGTCAATAATGCTTTCCTTCATGGGGATCTCCATAAAGAGGTGTATATGAGAATCCCTCCTGGTCTTCAGATCTCTTCATCTTCTTCTTCCACTGCTTCTCCTTTAGTTTGCAAGCTCAGGAAATCTTTATATGGCCTCAAGCAGGCTTCCAGACAGTGGTTCTCTAAGCTGTCTGATGCCTTGCTATCCAGAGGCTATATTGCCAGCAAAAATGATTACTCCTTATTCACCAAATCTTCTGGTGCTTCTTTGGTCATCCTTGTGGTCTATGTGGATGATATCCTCCTTGCTGGTTCTGATATTGCTGAAATGACTGCCTTAAAACAGTTTCTAGATGATCAATTTAAAATCAAAGACCTTGGTTTGGTCCACTATTTTATGGGTCTTGAAGTTTCCTCTCACCCTGATGGTTATGTGCTGCATCAACACAAATATACTTCAGATTTATTGGAGGAGTTCAAATGTTCTCATCTTTCTCCTCTTTCCACCCCTTTGGATCCTTCTATTAAACTGACAGTTGACATGGGTGACCCTCTTCCAGACCCTAGTATTTACAGGAGACTAGTTGGCAAGTTGAATTTCTTACAGCATACTAGGCCTGATGTTGCCTACTCTGTTCAGCATTTGAGTCAATTTCTCCAGACTCCCAGGGTTCCTCATATGTTAGCTGCCTTACATGTGTTGAGATATCTAATGACTGCTCCTGCTCAGGGGGTACTTCTGTCCAATACACCTGATTTTGCCCTTGCTGCTTTTTCTGATTCTGACTGGGCAACTTGTGCTCACTCGAGGAGATCTGTCACTGGTTTTTTTATTACTCTTGGTGGTTGTCCTATCTCTTGGAAGAGTAAGAAACAACCTACTATTTCCCTTTCATCTGTTGAAGCAGAGTATAGGGCTTTGAGAAAGGTTGCCGCTGAAGTGTCTTGGCTTGTTAGACTTCTTGGTGATCTTGGGCTTTCTATTACTGCTCCTGTTCCTGTATTCTGTGACAGTCAGGCTGCTTTGCACGTTGCAAAGAATCCTGTTTTTCATGAGCGGATGAAGCATATCGAGGTGGATTGCCATTATGTTCGTGATTGTCTTTCTTCTGGTCTGATTTCTCTCCAATTTGTTCGCAGTTCTGCTCAGCTGGCTGACATTATGACCAAGGCATTGCATGGTCCTCTTCATCATTCTCTATTGGGCAAGCTAGGAGTGTTTTCACCCTCCAGCTTGAAGGGGGGTGTTAACGGAAGCCCAAATTCAGGCCCAACACCAACTCATACCCAGCAGCCCACTTAACTATACTATATCTTTCTCTTATTACAGTTTAGTCCATGTACAATTGATAATAGCTCATGTATATATATAGAAATAAGAATAGTCTAGAACATAAGAGAGCATTCTGTATTTTCCGGAAACATTGACTATGGAATAAAAGCTCTCTCTTTTCTCTTTCTAATTCTAGGGTTTATTTGCACAAATTCTTCTTTCATAGCTCGATTTTCTGCAATTACCAAAACAAGCCAGAAATCCTAAAGAAGTCAAGGGCTGAAACTGAAAACGTTGTCGGACAACAACGTTTGATGGATGAATCAGATGTATCTCAGCTACATTTGCTCAAACTAATCATCATGGAGACACTAAGGATGCACCCAGTAGTCCCATTGCTCCTGCCACATTAATCATCCAAAGATTGCACTAGTGAACGCGTGGGCGATACAAAATGACGAAAAGGTTTGGGGTGACCCAGAAGTATTTAGGCCAGAAAGATTTGAAGATATAGAAATGGGAAAAGACAATGAGAATCAGTACAAATGGTTGCCTTTTGGGTCAGGGAGAAGGGGAAGTCCTGGCGAAAACTTAGCCATGCATATGATCGCCTTGGCACTGGGATGACTGATTCAGTGCTTTGAATGGGAAAGGATTGATAAGGAAAAGGAAGACATGAGCGAATTGGGTGATTTCACTTCACCTAAAGCTCTACCCTTGGTAGCTAATTTTCGTCCTCGACCAACTATTGTGCCTCTTCTTTCTCAAATTTGATTCGCACTCTACTGCCTAATTCTCGGACTGGTCCTGAGAAATAAAACCAAAAATGAGTCCAAGAAGATTGGTCAAGGTGATTTTCATGTCTCTTGGGGTACAAGATACAACCTGTTGCAATGTCTTCACTAAAGCTCTGTGCTGCAAAGTTTTAAGATTTCTTCCTAAACTTAGTTTCCATTTCTTTCATTCAGATTAATAGAGGGTGATACGGTTATTTTTACATTTACTGATAATTACTTGTTGTAATCACAGCTAGTTTTTCTAACCAACTATTAATACGACGGTTCTTTGCCTTTGCTTCATATATGGAATGTTGTTAGTATCCTTTGGCCACAGACGGGCTAGGATTTCAACTTTATAGATTTTGGATTTTAGAACGACGACTTCAAGTGCTGATAACTGTGTTCTAAATTTAATATTTGTACATATTTAATGAATTTTTAAATACAAAAAATATTGTTTAAGCAAAAGCTAATAAGTTCGACCCAACCTGTAGGCGGGCTTCTAGCTCCAACCTTGCTTGGCCATACCTCTATGTTGTTAAATTCTTTGAAAGCAAGTAAGAGTTCAGCAATTGGCAGAAAGTCGTGGGTTGATATGTTATAGAACAGGATACAACAGGAGTCCGGTAAACAATGGCCACTTCTGGAAAGGAATGAGGATATAAAAAAACAAAAGGAAAAAGGGATTGGTTTCAGATCTTTATGGAGGAATGGCTAAAAATACCGAGAAGAGAACTCATTTCCACAAAGAGTAACGATTATTTTGTATAGTTGGAAAGGTTGTTAGTAAATTAATTGATTTTTTACTTCAAACGGACAGCTGTTGCACATTGAAGTTTGCGTGTAATTCTACTTTTAAAATAGGCCAAAAAAACATATGAAGCAAGAGATATAAACTTAAAGAGCAACACATGAAGTAAGAGATCGTTTTTGCATCACTTATTAGCTCCTTGTAATTCTCCTATTAATTTCGTAGACCACTTTGCCTTCCCTTTGTTCGACATTGATGAGTTATAATTTGGGGATTATAACCTTAATTAAAAAAGGGCAGGTGGGGGAGAAGAAATAAAAAAAGAAGCAGCAGGTTGACTTTCTTTTTAACTCTACTCTTATGCATGCATATGACAAATTTACACTTAATACTGTGATGGTCCCTACCATGTTATCTCAAGCTAAATCTATTTAGGAGTTGTTCAATCACGTATGACGCTTTACCTGAAATGAATTAGGTAAAGAAAGTAGAAAAAAGAGAAATAAAATAAATAATACAGGAAAAAGTCAAGTGCCTTTTGTTTATCATATAGACTAGATTTAGATTTCTGCAGTCTCATATTAAATGGATTACGTTCCTATCAACCAGTAACAATACACAAACAAACAATAAACGTTTAAAGAGGCAAAACGTAAGCTGTATCACATGCCATTACAACGTTGAAATCAAGATGCAGAAGCGTGTCGAGTAGCATGGCGTACCAGTCAATGAAGTGGATAAAAACAATAGGAAATTAAAAGTTCAAATTCTGATAGAGACAAACTCCTAAATCTATTTAGGAGTTACCTATGTTAATGGATATACTCCTTCTGGTCCACTTTAAGTATTTTCACATATATTAAGGAATTTAGCTTTTAGCATTAATTAATAATGAAATTGATCATATTAACCTTACTTTGCTCATTGGAAATATAACAAATTACTCTTAGGCTCTTTACTCCAAGGGCAACTTTGAAAAGAAGAAGTTAATCCCTTCTTGATATCTGCAAAAATCAAACATAGCAAGTACCTAGTAAAGTAATCAAGGTGCGCACAAGTTGTCCCTAGACATCCTATGTTGTCTACCCTGGACAAATGAACCAAAATTAGAGTACAGCCAGAAATTGCGTCTTGCCATTCGTCATCAATCATCCATTGCCTAAATGAATACAAAGGCCCTCTTTATGGGATGTTTACTTTCTTTGTAGTATTTAATTCCTTCTTGTTCGTTCACTATGATACCTTTCTTTAAAAAATCAATTTCTACAACTAACCTACATTATTAGGGATTAAACAAATAACTAGACTGCAGAGACTTCTTGTTTAATTTAGAAAACAAAACCAGGTTTTAATAATAGTATTCTTGTCTAAGCTGCACAGATCTTAATTCAAGCTAATAAAACTAGACAATTATCAGGCTTAATACTACAATATTCATCATCTTCATCATTTCTTTTTAATGATCCATGGACAGTCTTTATCTGTATTTCCCAGTTCTGTTCTTTGTTCTTTATATCATCACCCATCATTTTCTTCACAAGCTAAAAAACCTTCCTCCTAGCCCAACTCCAGCACTGCCTTTCATTGGCCACCTCTACTTATTGGGTAAACCTTTCCACAGAGCCTTATTCAAAGTCTCAAATCGTTATGGTCCAGTAGTCTTTCTTCAGTTTGGCTCTCGGCCTGTCCTCCTTGTTTCATCACCTTCAGCAGCAGAGGAATGTTTTACCAAAAATGATATCATCTTTGCTAATCGCCCTGATTTTCTCAGTGGCAAGTATTTCGGGTATAATTTTACCAGCCTCGCCTGGTCCTCCTATGGAGAGCACTGGAGAAATCTTCGAAGAATTTCCTCTCTTGAAGTTCTATCTTCCTATAGAATTCAGACACTCTCAAGCATCCGTTCTGATGAAATAAACTACCTGATTCGTAGACTCTTTCGAGTCTCCATAGAAAGTTCGGAAAATATTGTAGAGATGAAATCATCTCTTTTTAACTTCACCTTCAATGTGATATCAAGAATGATTGCAGGAAAAAGGTACTACGGAGAGAAAGTAGAGAACTCGAAAGAAGCTAAGCTATTCCAGGAGATATCAAAGGATACATTAACCACTGCTCCAAAGGCTAATATTTTGGATTTCTTGCCATTCATGAGGTGGTTTGGGTTGCATAGTGTTGAGGAAAAGATGATGGAAGTACAGGAGAAGAGGGATAACTTTATGAAAAAGGAAATAGAAGAGCATCGTCAGTTAAAGACTAGTGGTTCTTTTCCTTCCGCAGAGGTTGTGGCAGGGAAGAAGAAAACTATCATGGAGGTCTTGTTAGATTTACAGAAAACAGACCCCGGATACTACACAGATGAAACAATTAGAAACTTAATGTTGGTAAGACTATCAGAAATCTACATGATTTCTTTTTTGTATATGAAAATCCACTCAGATGATTATTTTCAGCATGCTTTTGTTGCATGTGAAAAAAGTCATCTTATCACTGGAATCTTTATTCTTGATGGCCATTCATTATTTTGCTGGTGTTATCTTGAGTTAATACTATGATTAAGTTTCAGATGGCACTTGACATAGATAGGTATACTGCTGATAAGTTTCTTAAAATATACACAGTATAGGCAGGTGATATTGACTAATTTAATTCTACTTATGCCTCACCTAGGATGTAGATCTTGAAATGAAAGCTATATTGGATCTTTCAAAGTCGTTGGCTCTTTAGAGTGTCTGTGCTCTGTCTATATCTACTGTTCCTTTAAATGTTGTGACTAAATTATACAATTTGTTTTCTTATGCATGCAGGTCCTACTCCAAGCTGGATCAGAAACTTCAGCTGTAACACTAGAATGGGCTTTTTCACACTTACTTGACAATCTAGAAATTTTAAAGAAGGCACAGGCTGAAATTGACAATCATGTTGGACAAGACCGCCTAATTGATGAATCCGATTTGGCTCAACTTCCTTACATCCGATGCATCATCAACGAGACACTGCGGATGCATCCAGCAGCCCCTTTACTTGTGCCTCACTTTTCATCAGAAGAGTGCAAGGTTGCAGGGTATCGAATTCCGCGTGGAACAGTTCTATTAGTGAATGCATGGGGCATACATCATGACCCTAAGGTATGGGAGGACCCAGAAAAGTTCAATCCTGAGAGATTTATAGGCTTTGAAGGTATCAAAGAGGGCTGCAAGTTTATCCCGTTTGGATCAGGAAGGAGGGGTTGCCCGGGTGAGAACCTAGCATTTCATGTCATTGGGTTGGCACTGGGCTCACTTCTTCAATGCTTTGAGTGGGAAAAGCCTAACAGGGGGTCCATCGACATGAGTGAAGGTACTGGATTCACACTTTCACCAAAGGTTCAGCCTCTATTGGCAAAATGTTCTCCACGACCAAACATGGTCAAACTTCTTGCCGAAATCTGATCCTAACTAAGATACTTATAATGTACACCATCACTTCAGCATGAATAACTAAGCATTTCTAAGATCCAACTTTGTTGTTCTATCATTGAATTGGCGAGGAAACTTAATGACAAGTGCGAAAAACAGAGAGGAAGAATGGCAACTAACAAAGAAAAGTACCTGCATAATTTATGCATTCAACTAATCCCTTGGCCTGTAGGAATTTGAATTCATTCTCCAGCGTCCCACCCTCTCATGGTAAGCTTGTCATGAATTAGGTCAAATGGCTAGTGGTTTCGTACTGTCATAGAAAATGCTCCTTTTAGGGTTCAGGTGTTAGCCACAATCGTATTCATTCAGTAATTATATCCCTTCATTCTGTGGGACCTCGTTTCTTAATGTTGTTACTATGTCAAGTGTGTCAAAGAGTGCTTTTTAAAAAAATTCGACTTGCTAGCTTGAATTCTCAGTTTTGCTATTGTTATATACAAGAAATACTTTCGTGACACCTTACAAACTTCTTACTGGGACAGAACTACAAAAGGCATTTGCGAGTGTTCAGATGCACGTGTTTTGTCCATATTCCTGCACAGTCAAAGAAAAAAGTTGTCCCCAATATCCTGCCCCTGACCAAAAAAAGTAAAAAGAGCAAATGATATTTTGAAGCAAGAATATAGCTCAGCATAAGGAATGCGCCATATGGCATAAGTTCCACGAGGGAAACGGTAATACTACAAAGTGTTCAGTTGTTAAGTGTTAACAGAGCATATTGATTCCTAGACCTTGAATTATCAACCCAGCTTTCATCAAACAGATAGTAAGCATATATCCACAGCACTCACCATTATTACCAGACTATCGAAAGACTCTCTAATATCAGGTACCCATTACCAGACTATGTTGCTCGGACTCTCTGAAAATGTTGCCGGGTGCGTGTCGGATATTTTTGGAGGATCCAGACACGGGTACGACATCATTTTGGAAAGTCCGCACAACATAGTTATCAGAAGAGAATCTGTTATTGAAACATTGACTCATCAATTAGTTTAAGAGGAGCATAAATTAGCAATGCATCATGGAGCACAATTACCTTTTTTTTTTTTTTTTTTTTTTGCTTCACTGGTTAATAGGCGAGCAGGATAGGTTTAAGTATACCAAAAGTAGTAGAAAGCAATTCAGATTTGAACTCGTGAAACAATAATTTGAACTGTAACTTCTAAGAACTATACCCTCCGCTTAGAGATGATTGGCCGAAAATTTACCTTAGAAAAACTTCAAGTAACTATTGTGAGGGAAAGAATTAATCCGCCAGCTTAATTTCAGCAATATTGGTCTTGTTTTACACGATCACAGTTCTGATGAAAGACATATCTATATTTTAATCTACGAGTGCCACAAATTCATTGAGTTTAACTGTTCAAAATCCGAAAATGAACATGTATAAATGCAAGTGAAATTGAACTGACTTTGATCAGAAAGTGATGGACCTTGTTCATATTCCAATCGTTGGATTTGGCGATTGAGCAAAACAAAGAGATATTCGATGCCGACGGCCGGTTTGGCCAATGAGGTATCCGCCCTCCGGCTTCTATTTGTGTTTCTGAGTCATTGTCTACCTATTCGATTTTCCTTTATTCTCTTCCGTTTCCTATTGTTGTTTCCAAAATCCAAACCGAGAGATTTAATTCGGACATTTGCACAAATGGCCTTTTTAGGCAATTCTTTAGATAATGTTCAGCTCAGTAGGGTATATTTTGGGGAAACTACCAGCTATGTCCATTTATAAGTATCTCATTACAAAAATTGATCAATTCATAAAATATTACTAATAGCCAATTAGCTATTTGTAGCAAAAAAATGTCAAATTTTTGCTTTCTTTTGAGTGGGTGTTATTAGAATATATTGGGTACATCTTAAGGAGCTTGAATCTCAGTTTTGGGATGATTTGGTGAAGTTTTGAGGTGGTTTGAATTGAAAAATTCGAAGTAAAAACTGAACATGAAAAAAAATGATATATGTGTATCATTTGTGTATCGCATATGTATCATATTTGTATCAATTGTGTATCACATGTATATCCATGTATACCTGTGTGTGAGATACATGCGTGATACATGTGTCGCAGAAGAATTTTTTTAACTCGATTTAATTACGAATTTTGATATAAACTCCGTCCAAATCACCTCCAATCTTCTTTTAACTTATCTATATGTTTTCAATGAATTTCAACTATACCCATTGAAAAAGTTCATTTTTTGCTTAGATTTTTGGAATATTGTATTTTATTTTTGTATTTGATCACCTTATTTGCTACCTCATCCATGAAATTTCCTTTCCGTCTTGCATCTAATGTTGCTAATCACGCTTAAAAATATGGAAGGTGATTTTTGCATGTGATTCTTTGAGAGAAAGAACCTTATTTATTTAGTTTTCAATTTTTATATGTGCTTGGCTAGTTTTGGTAAGTTTATGACTAATGATTAGAGATTGGTAAGTTGAGATTTATTTGGGACATTTGCGTAAGTTTCCTAAATTTTGTCGATAAGAAAAATATAATATTTTAATTTATTTAGCTAAGAAAAAATTGAATTTAATGAGTATCTTGAAAAGACCATACGATGCAAATAATCCGTCTATTAGATGGTTTACTTTGGATTGACACAACCAAATATTCTCGTTCATCCAACCCTTTAAACTTTTAAAGTTTGAACAGGATGGAAGGATCAAACAGTAATGGATCAACATTGACGGTCGAACTGCACAAATAGCCGTATTTAGAGAGTTTTTAAAGTTTAGCCATTTAAAATCAACTTCATACGGGTTTGAAGTTGAAATCTCGGATTTGAAATTTCTGCATAAGTCTTAACTTGACCTTTAATTTTTTAAATTTCATATCTTTAGGTATGAAGTTACGCTTTGACGTAGTCCAACTTTTAAAAACGAAGCTCCGAATAAGAAGAAAAAGCAATAGGAGTACTTTAATATGAAGTTTGTCAAAATTAACTACATTTTAAATAACTTTAAAAGGGTTGTCCGGTACACTAAGCTCCCGTATACGTGGGATTTGGGGAAGGATCGGACCACAAGTGTTTATTATACGCAGCCTTAGCTTGCATTTCTGTAAGAGGCCGTTAAACTTTAAACAATTTAAAAAACGAAATATGCTCTTTAATAGAAGTGCTACAATACTACCTTTAGGTTCATTTATACAACATTGACATTTTTGCATTGAGCAGCCAACGAAGCCGGCATGAAATCATAACAAGAACGTGATCTCATACAAGATTATATTGGATAGGATTTAATTTTCACAATGGACAAGGAAAAAAGGTTGCCGATCTAATATCTATGAAGGAGAATAACAAAGGGTAGCCGGCCATATTGTAGTGCTATAACAAGCGGTGTACAAAACTTTGACTGATCTAATGGTGTTGCTTTAAGATGCCGCCATTTCATGGACCAAAAAAGATCCATCTTTACTCATTAAATCTTGGAAGAATAGGTGTGTGGGTTGAGAAGAATGTTCCTCATGCTAAAAATGGAATGACAATGTTAGACAAAGGCCCAAATTTTTTACTATTTGGAGGCTATAAATTGTTAATGAAGGCAAACCAATTTCTTTTGTCTTTATTCGCAAGTTGCAAGCTTATGGTATGTTAGTGAAGGCTGAGAATTAGCTTTACTCTATGCTCTTTTTGCGTGGCATGCACTAAAGTACGATTGGAAAAAGAATCAATCAAAGTACTCCAAATGCCAGATGGAGCAGAGGCGAATTCAAGATTTAAATTTTATGGGTTTAATTTTTAAGATTTTTAATATTAAACCCATTATATTTTTAAAGGTATGAGTTCATATCTACTATTTTTGCAATTTTAGTATATGTTTACATATAGATTTATACTCCGCATTTAAAGGTATAGATTCAATTAAACCCGTCTCTAAAATTCTACATCTACCCCTTAGACGGAGTATTACATTAGTATTTTTTGTTGAATAACCATTACAATTTCGATAAGGTTGAGACCTAGAAAAACTTCAGAATTTATTTTTCTGATGAATGATAAATGTGTTGGTGTATAGGGTCAAATTTGACCCTCAGCATCTCTACGCCAGTGGGCACGCCCAGTGAGTGTACGTCGACTAACGTAGCGGGTACGACTCGGACGTGGGGACAAAAGCGACATCATTTAGGACTCAGTGTCTTCACTAGGGAGACGTTACCTGTCTTTGTAACTTTTTTATTCTTTCGAGGAAGGTCTCTTATTATATAAAGGAGACCTTCACATTGTAAAGAGGAGGATTCTAATCTAATACAACTCTCTCATTTTCAGGCTTTCTCTCTCTATCTCTACCTCAAACGAACATATCTTATTAAGTTCATATTATCACTTTGCAATACTAGATCTACAACAAGAATATCATCTTTGCATCTCTAGGTTTATTATATTTGGTTACGATTTACCCTTTTCTTACTTTTGATTGTTTTCTAGCTTACAAAGTATATTGTTAACTTTTGAGCCAAACAATTTGGCGCCATCTATTGGGATTTCGAGAATCAAAATCATAGTATCCACCTAGAGAACAACCAACTATTCTCTAAACCACACAAACACAAAAGATGGCTGAGAATAACCCAAGATCAAAAGCTATATTGGGTGTCACTACCAATCTCCTTGGCCCTCTCAACGAGGCCAGTGACGATGGCATCCTGAATGCAACCCCTAGTATCACATCGGGTGCGGAGATCTCACCTTCCCCATCCGAAGATCTGACGATCTTGCACGAAAAGGGAGCTTCCACTTCTGCGGCTACGGAAGCACCCTCAGCGGTCAAGAAGCTACTGGAAAGATGGCTAACAAGCACTCTGAGTGGCTTGGTTGAGAGGTCACCACAAAGTAACATCAAGTGTACACCAACGGTAGATACCACTGCTGCCGTGGGCGAACTGGAAGTTGCACTAGCAAATAACGAACCCATCGAGACACAGACCAACGATAGCACGCTAACGGCCATCCTAAAGAAGATGGAAGAAATGGAAAATGAAAACAAGGCGCTCCGCGATCAGATGAAGGAACATCAGGAGAGGGTCGACAAGATCCCCGGTGCCCCCAAGTTGCTACCAAAACGCGACGTGGGAAGGTTCGTTGAACAACCATACACTAAAGAAGCCGCCCCTCACTCCACCCCAAAAACCTTCAAGATGCCACCCTACTTAAGGGTATATGACGGAACCACTGATCCCGAGGATCATCTGATCCACTACGTCACCGCTGTGAAGGGCAACGACCTATCAAAGGAACAGGTACCGTCGGTACTACTGAAGAAGTTTGGCGAGACGTTGATAGGAGGGGCCTTAACATGGTACTCTCAGCTACCAGCTAAGGCAATATCAACGTTCGAGGAAATGGCGGATAAGTTCGTCACAGCCCATGCAGGCGCGAAGAAAGCGGAGGCCAGGGTCAACAACATCTTCGCCATCAGACAAACTACAGGAGAGGGACTCAGGGATTTCCTAGCAAGGTTTAACATGGTAAGGATGAGTCTACCAAACGTATCGGAAGGTATGGCAGTCGCCGCTTTCCAGAACGGGCTAAGCAGGGATGGTTCAAGGGCAACCAAGAAGTTGCTGAGCCGCCTCATGAAATATCCCCCTACCACATGGGAGAAAATCCACAACGCCTATTGCGCTGAGGTACGAGCGGACGAGGATGATCTTAATGGGCCGACCCAATGGCTAACAACGATACATTCAGAAACGAGGAGAGATCGACGGAACGAAGGACGATGAGAACAACTCCCTCGCGCCAACAGAGATCGACATCAGCCATACACCAGATCCTCCCATCCGCCACCAAGGCATACAGACGCGCTACAGCGACATGTCGCCCCACTCCGAAACGAAAGAGGTACGCCTCCTTTATTATCCGCCCATAACTTTTATGTGTCTCCTTCAGAAATAGTGTACACACTGGAGAAGCTGGGCACCAAAGTGCAGTGGCCGCAAAAGATGAAATCGACCCCGCCACAAGGAAATCAAACGTCCTATGTGAGTTCCATCAGGAACGGGGGCACAAGACCGAAAACTGCATAGGCCTACGGCAAGAGGTGGTCAGGATGCTGAACCAGGGATACCTGAGGGAATTACTCAGTGACAAAGGGAAAATCAACTTTGCACGCGGACGGGAACAACCCCATGGGCCGCCGAAGCCGCCCTCCCCAGCACGCACGATAAACATGATCGTCGGAGGCGGCGACGACTTGGCGATCAATCACGTCAAGTTCACCACCACGCACAAACTAAAGCGGACCATCGCCCATGAACGGTATGACGACTTCGAAGATAGTATCACCTTCGATAAGTCTGATGCCGACGGTTTGTCTTTCCCTCATTACGATGCTTTAGTTATCACTTTACGTATCGCTGATACAGATGTTAAAAGAATCATGATCGATGACGGAAGTGGCGCCTGTATTATCCACCCAAGGGTCCTCGTACAAATGGGACTCGAGGATAGGGTAATACCGCGCTGCATAACACTAACCGGTTTTAACAATGCAGTGGAACGGACGTCCGGAGAAATAGCACTGCCCGTCTTAGCAGGAGGAGTCACGCTGGAAACAACTTTCCACGTGATGAACCAAGAAACGGCGTACAATATCATTATAGGACGCCCGTGGAT